AGGGGGAAGGGAGGGTAGGGGAAACAGTGATAGAGATATTTCTTTGTTCTGCCAAAACAAAAAGAAATGAATGAATATCTTCCTAGGTATTCTCTAACTGAATGTGAGTGTGGCCAGTGAATTCTGTTTTCTTGTCTAATAAATATTCAAAGAGGCCTTTTTGAATACTCATGAATAGACTTCTGCTATGGCATAACACTTTAAACCATTCCACCTGTGTCTTGCTGCTTCTCTAGTGTTCCATTGTGACTAAACCAGTGGTGTCTCTTTTGCTGTATTGCGTTGTCATTCTTTGGTCATGCAAATAAGATTTACTGAAAGTACATACTGTGTATTTTATTTGAGGTATGGGAATGGATGGTCCAGGTTTTGGAGGAATGAATAGAATTGGAGGAGGTATGTATAAGCATTTGTTTTTTTGTATGTATCCACCACCATTTTTCGTAAATTAGGAACTGTTTTGAGAATTCCAAGAGAGAAAAAGTCATGGTTTATTGTTGACTCACATCCTCAAGGCTGCTAGCAGAAATTGAGCCTGGTACATACTTAAGGGATATGGAAGGTGATTTGTAAAGTGTCTCTTTCCGCTATACAACTAACAGTCAAATCTCAAAATTAATCTTTATTCCATAGGAATTGGTTTTGGTGGTCTGGAAGCAGTGAATAGCATGGGAGGATTTGGAGGAGTTGGCCGAATGGGAGGTAGGTAAATGTATGTAGTGAGATGTGTATGCTACATTTAGTTTAACCTATTATTAAAATGTTCCCCCCCTACTTAGGAATGGATACTATAGATGTTTTCGGAGGGTCTATGTGGGCACTAGGGAATAGGGACAGGAATGGTAAAATGGAATGTGACGTGAGGTAAGTTGGGTAAATCACAGACTTTTTCTGTATTTGTGACTTTTACTATCTTTTTAGTTTAGTTTCAGTATGTTCCTAAATGGATTACTACATAGTGATATATTTGGAAAAGAGTTAATTTGTTGTATAATCTTTTCAGAGCTATACCGTGGTGCAATGACTAGTAGCGTGGAGAGAGATTTTGGACGTGGTGATATTGGACTAAATCGAGGCTTTGGAGATTCCTTTGGTAGACTTGGTAGGCTGGCCGCATAGTTCTCCTTTTGTCTTTGCGGGTTATATTTTTCAAAGTTTGTTCCTCTTTTTATGTGAAAAATTGGAAATTTATGATGTTTTACACAATTTATAATGTTTTACACTAGAAGAAAAAAACACTAGAGGTTTTAATGTACTGGTTCTCTTTTTCAGTATCTTACGTATTTGAATCCTATTTGTAGAAGACTTTATACTTTTCAGTTACTGTACATCTATCTTCTGAGAGTATAATACCTTAGGAATTTAAAGTATGGTTATTTAAATTAATTAGTATATTATCTTTCCATCCTTGTTTAGGCAGTGCAATGATTGGAGGGTTTGCAGGAAGAATAGGAGCTTCTAACATGGGGCCAGTAGGATCTGGAATAAGTAGGTTTAAATTTTACTAGAATTTATTCAGTAATATTTGAGTGCTTGCAAAGACTTTGCAAGAGTAGTTATTGTAGTATAGTAATACTTTGTTCTTATATATTAATATGTCTTGTCATAATTTAAAGAAACTTTGATAGTTATTGAGTTTTTCTGTTTGATTACTGAAATTTCTGAACTAACTTTGAATTTTATTCCTTTGATATTTCTAAACTAACACCAGAGTACGTGTTAACTATAAGCCAATCCAAGAATCTCCTTTCCAACTAATGAATCTGGACATTTCTCTGATCATGTGTTAGGAACAACTTTTGCATTAGCATCAACTTTGTTTCCTTGCTTATTCTCTACAACTGCTATTGATAACTAGCTTATTTCATCTGCAAACAACTTTTTTTTGTCTTTTGGTAGAGTGCAAGAGAATTGCCCCAGATAAAGTAACACTTCTAAAGAGACCTCCTGAGGTTAAGGGCTAAGGTTGAAACGGATGCTTATGTCTTCACCTCTTAAACCTTTCTTGTGGTAGAATCAAGAATAGTTGCAGCACTGGGGAATGCCATTAGGCCTTATATTAAGGCTTAACTCTGGCTTAGTTTTTGACCTCTATTACTTGCAGAACCATGTCTCTGTGAGCTCTGCATACTTTATTGACTTCCTTTAATTAATTGAAATCACACAAATAGGAAACACAGCCTATTTGAACTGTTCTAAGAGTGAATTCAAAATCTTGTCAGCTCAAGGTAACTATTTCCACTGTACCTTGCTTCTCATGTTACTCCTTCTTTTTATCATCTTTTCAGCCTTGGCCGTTTTCCTATGAAGGTTAACTTCCCTACCTTCCCATTTTCACCTCAGTGTTTCTACTTCTGTTTCCCTATTTTTATATTTGTTATTCACGGAAAGCTAATTTGAGGGCAAAGTTAATTTTCCATATTGCTTTCTATGAGGATTTTAGATATGAGAAAAAAGGAAAACTTTTGAGAATAAGTAGTATTGGAATAGTTAAAGGGAACTCAATTCATAAAAATGAAGTGGATATGAGCTACGAGCTAAATTCTCAAGCTGCAGCTAAAGGGATGTGACTCCATTGTTTTTTGCTACCTCCACAAGTTTTGCAGATTAAAAGTTTTTGAAATTAAAAGTTATGTGTTTCTGTGGTTATTGAAAAATGAATTGATACAAAAAGAGAAATTATATGTGAAACAGAAGATCCTGAGGTGAAAAGTAAGCTAGGAAAAGAATATTATGTAGCAGAGTATGATGAGAGCAACAATTGATGTGTTGGAGTTGTAATAATTTGAATTGGCCCCATGTATCTTTGTTCTAGCAATTATTAAGCTTGGTGTATTAGAAAATAAAAATGAGGATAAAAACATTAATGGATAAAGTAATTGGTAGAAAATTTATATAATTTATATATGATGTTTTGTGATCAGTATAATTTTATAAAAGAGCATGTGTATAATATATTACCGAGTGGCTAAAATTAACAGATTGAATTAGCCATTAACATTCAACTAACGAAATGTATACCAAATTAAATTCTGTTCTTGGAAGAATGTTATATGGCCTGTATGAAAATAATTTTATGCTTACGTATTATCTAATTACATAAACAAATTAATTTTTCTCTCCCTTTCTCAAAAATGATTCTCTCCTTCCTCTTTCTCTCCTTTAAAACAAAAACACCAAACTCCCAAATCCTCCCTTCCCTTTCTGAAAATCCAGGTGGTGGAATGGGTGGCATGAACAGTGTGACTGGAGGAATGGGGATGGGACTGGATCGGATGAGTTCCAGCTTTGATAGAATGGGACCAGGTATAGGAGCTATACTGGAAAGGAGCATCGATATGGATCGAGGATTTTTATCGGGTCCGATGGGAAGCGGAATGAGAGACAGAATAGGCTCCAAAGGCAACCAGATATTTGTCAGAAATGTAAGCAGCTAAATGTAAAAGATACTTAAAATTATTTTTTGCCTTATATATCTGTTACTAATACCTTTTTTCATTCTAGCTGCCTTTTGACTTGACTTGGCAGAAACTAAAAGAGAAATTCAGTCAGTGTGGTAAGTATGCCAATGACTGCAGATATATTCATAGTGATTATGGAGGAAAAATTGATTTTAAACTTTTAAACACTGTGGTTAGACTTTTACTCCTAGGCAGTATAACAGGTCTAATTTCACTTCAGGTAAACAAATTATTTTGCTATGCTCTTAGAGCAGTCCAAATTACTACTAACATGATTTAGAGTAGAACCTGTCATTGTCTCCTATGGATAAAGAAAAAGCTTGATTTTTTACCTTATTTTTAAAAGGTTAATTTATTATGATTACTTACATTTTAAAGGGTTACTTTTTCTTGTGAGAAATACTAATGAACGGTAAATTTATTTCCTTGTTTATAGTATAGTGCAGTGCATTGTCAGCATGACCCGATGAAATGCTGTGACATCCAAATGACATGGCGTTAATAGCTGTCCTATTCTATACACTCCATTGTCTACACAGTACAGGAAACTTACCTAATAGCATAGAACCCACTGCCTGGAACTCCTTAGATATAGGTACATTGTGGTGACTCTTCTAATTATTTTATAAACTGTTCTTGGCTATAACAATACTGCCTATACAACTTTAATATGTTCATTAGGTCTGCAGAAGATTAGATGGTTTAGTACTTTGAAAACATGGCCTTTTTTGTGATGATGAGAGAATTAGAGTGAGTGGAACAAAGTAACACATTAGGAAATCCGATAGTATTTTTATACTATTAGGTGGTGTTCCCAGAGACTATAAGCACAATAGTAAGTTATATAGGTGGCATATAATGATGAAAAGGGCTAAAAATTCAGCCTTTGAGAGTTAATGGAAAGTTAAGAGTATTTGGAGTATATCTTTAATTTTTGAAGATCATGAAAGGGGTAAGTTTCGTGTTCTCTCACAAACGTAGCCTTTTTGGTGATCGCTTGTCATCAGAGTGGTCACTATGGAATCTGTTATCTACTGTGTTTTCAGAATACTTTATACCTAACTGTTGCAGTAATCTGTTCACGTGTTTTCTTTTCTCCTAGATGGAGGCTCTTGAGGGCAAGAATTGTCATCTTTTTTTCTTAGCACTTTTCATTGCCTCAGTACATATAGTAGGAGTTTATTAAATGTTTTTAAGTGAGTCAGCATTCTGAGCAGATCTTCATTTATTCAATTTTTAAATCTACAAATACTGTATTTTTGGCAGTTTGTTGATACTAGAATTCAAAATTTGAACAAAGTAAGATATTATCTTTGCCCTCAACATATAGTGTGAATCTGTGTGGAGTGTTCTGTTGGCTTCTTTTGTTGATCATCTTTTTTTATATTTTAGTCAAAGATGGAGAACTAAACTTTTTTTCTTGATAAAAAGTTGTTGAAAACGAGTCAGCTAATAAACAGTCACCACTAAGAGAAAGCAGAATTATAAAGTTGTTTTGAGGTTTTGGTAGTCTTTGTAGATGTAAGAAGATCTACCTGAATGAGTAAGCAGCATCTGGCCATGAATCCTATAGTTTATAGAGGAATGAACATATTAGATCTTTAGTGAAATATATCAAATGAGGAGCAATGGCAGCAAGTATAGATAATTTTTATTGTTGTAGTTTGAGTGAAAAAAAAATCTCCAAATGAGATATGACATTATTTTAAAAAGTAGAAATGAAACATGAGAAAGAACAAAGTGAGGCAAACAAATGGCATCAATGAAAGTGTGACCAATACTGAATTGACTGTGTAGGCAGATTTCCTTTGATGTCAGATATAGGTAAGGCAAACTTGAGATCTTTCGGTGAACTTCATGGTGGACTGGCCTTTTTTTGACAGAAGGAAATCAGTTCAAAGACATTTTCTGAAAGTAAAAAAAATAGTATCTAAATCTACATTTAAAAAATGTGTACAGCATTTTAGCCATTAAAAAAGTGGTTAAATTATTATTCTTCACTTTGTTATTTTAGCTGTATTCTTATGTCCCTTTTTGATTAGTCTATCATTGTATCATGAGAGTAACGATTTTTTGTTTTTCTTCTCAATTCTAATTATAAAGCTTCTGACTTTTAGATTTATATTGAGGTAATACTATACTTAAATAATTTCCTACCATCTTCCTATTTTTAATCTTGAACTGCACTGATGGGAAAGAAAATAAGTTATGGTGATACAGAATTAAGTGACCAGCTATCGACAACTATGAAAATTACCCGGTCTGTATGAATTGGGTGATCCATTTTTCTTTCACATCACTTTGTTTTTAAATTTAAGAATTTTTCTTTCAGAGTATGGAAAATTTAATCTGCTCCAAGCCAGGAATAGCCTCTTTCTCGGTAAAAGGCAGTATTTTGTTTTTTCCCCCTTGAGCCACAGGTGAATAAGTATATTCTCTTGCTTGCTTCTTATTAAGAGTCTAGTGCTGCTCCATGCATCTCCCTAGACATTATCTGCTAGTCACTGGGCCACCAGCAAGCCCTCTGCTTATTAAATTTCTTAGTGGTTAATTGTCCTTGATGGGCAATTACAAAGGCTGAGAAAATATTGTGTTATGGGTTATATTACCCTCAATAAAGCATTTCCTTGGCCTTTGTAATTCAGGAAAAAATGTTTTCACATGCTCAAATATAAAAATGAAAAATAAGTGAATATAATAAAATCTTTTTATTCCTATATAATTTCTCAGTGACATACATTTTTAAGAAAGCTGAGTAAATAAATTAAGTAACCCATTCAGAGTTGGATCCCACATTATTTCAGGTTGTGCTAATGAAGTTAAATAGGCATAGTCTTTCAAATTTGCTCCATTTTTGTGTATACCCTGTAGCTCTATTTTGACCCTCTGGCTGAGTATGATGCAGGGCCATAACATTATAGAACTATAGTGCCCGTTCTTTATTTCTGCTGTAAACTATGTAAACAAATATAACGTTGTTCCACAGATTTCAACATGAGTATGCTTATTAATTGCATAGAAAATGGAAACGTGATATTTTATTTACTAAAAGCACATGCTGCTTCAAGCATGACTAGTAGACTTTGACTCTAGAAAAACCGAACAGTAAAAATAATGCAGTGACAGTAAAAAATAACATATGAAGAACATTTATTGATGAAGTCACTTTTTTATTTGTAAAGAAATGGTAAAACTTTTTTGTCCCTTATGTCATAAATGTTTTTTGTAGAATATCTGATTTTGCTTTTTTTCTCCTCTGGTTATGTTACAGCTTCACTTTAGAAGTAGATTTCATTGAACTGTGTATTTATTTATGTTTGTATGCATGCATTCATGCATGCTTTATTTTAGTCTAATTTTAGATATGCTTCTATATAAGATTTCCCAAATATGTACTGAGGAGTTAATAGGCTGGGTTAAATAAAGTAGAAAGCTTTCTTTTACTGCAGGATAAGTCATTTTTATGACTAGTATATGTAACAGCAGTATGTTTGATTATTTTGTGGTACCGATTTCTCATTGCATACTATTTTGTCCTTTGTTTTGTAGAAAGTGTGATTCCTCTGTGTGTGTGTGTGTGTGTGTGTGTTGTAGGGTAAGCATTGTTTATATCTACTTAAACCATTGTAATATAATTTCTCTGGAGATTAGTCTGTTTTATGACTTTGATAACACAGTTAAAGACTGCGTGGCTTGGATTAATTACAAGATCATGGTTTTGGCTCAGTGACATTTATTAACTTGGACCATTTAATTAGTTTTGAGTGAATGATTGATTGACATAACAGTTATTTTTAAAATAATTTATTTATGAGGGGATAGGTAATGGATGAAAACACAAAAGTAGAAAAGTAGCCCAGAATGTTGTAGATAAGAAATCAATCAGATCAGTATTTAAAAAGGAAAAAAAAAAAAACTTACTCATGCATGAGATAAAAATTGTTCCCATTACCTGGAAAGAGCTTATGGAATTTTTTGCTAAGCACTTCACTTTTACCTTCCCCCCTTTTTCCTTTCTTCTCCCTTTATAGAACTAAATGTGTCTGGCTCTCTGATTTTGTTGCCAAACTAAAATTATCCTGTAGTAATCTGGCAACTATACTATTCAAGGGGAGGGAAATATTATGGTAAGTAGTCACACACCTGTGCTCTCTGGTGGCCTAGTGGTTAAGATTCAGTAGTCACGCACCTCACATCTAAACTTGGGTAGATCGAGTTTAACACTTTACATATGTTATTTGTATATAATTATTAATAACCCCCCCCTTTTACTCTTTCAAGTGTTCTGGTTTGGGTGATGGATCTTTATGGCCACTTTGTATTTCGATAAATGATGGAGTTGAAATGGAGGATAGAAGGGAAGGAAGAGGAGATCGGGTAGAAAGTAACAATTTTGTCTAAAAATAAATTTTGTTTAAATTTGTTATTGGGTTTAATTACTTGGTGACATTTTGTTATAGCTTGCCTTATTGCTATCAAATTCACTTTAGAAACTCAAGATTTAACAAAAAAACTTATTTTAATATTAAATCCTAAAATTTATTTTGATTCCAATTTTGTATATTTTAACCTGTATGTATTCATTACTTTATATGAAAGGCATTATATTCAGAATGTAAAATGTGAATAATGCTTATATGATGTATTATATTTAAATCATTAATGTTAATGTTAACATTAGGTCAAATTACTTACCATTTTATTGGCTGTGAGAAATTTCAAACTTGTGTAGTGAAGTATTGAACCTGTTTAAACTGATTAGTAATTCTATAATTTCTCTTTTACAGGTCATGTAATGTTTGCAGAAATAAAAATGGAGAATGGAAAGTCAAAAGGCTGTGGAACAGTTAGATTTGACTCCCCAGAATCAGCTGAAAAAGCCTGCAGAATAATGAATGGCATAAAAATCAGTGGCAGAGAAATCGATGTTCGCTTGGATCGTAATGCATAATTTCAAACCACGGTTGGAACATTCTTACATCTGTTTTGCTGAATCTCCTAGTGAAAGTCATTTTTAAGTAATGCTGTATGCTTACAAAAGCTGTAAAAATGAACTTTAAAACTCCCACCAGCTTTTAACAGTATAGTGTTAAATATACTGTGATTTTTGTTAATCTCTAGTTTGGGTTTTTAAAGACAGCAAGTCTGGTCATTCAGTTTAAATGAATGGTTATACTGTTTTTAATGAAATAAGCCATTTCCTTGTTATTTTCAGTACTACTTAGTGGGATTTGTTTGTTCAAGTTTCTCTAGCTTTTATCAACTTATTATAAGGTAAAACATAGATGGTTTTTTCAAAACTTCTGTTTTATATATGTAATTGGCCTTGAAAAGAAAGGACTCAGACAAATTAGGATGTGATTTTGGTTGATTTTAAATTACTTTTCTTTGGTGATAAAGAATTACTATAAGTTTTAGAGTCTAAAGTTCAGGTTATTTTTTATTTGGCTAAAATGAAGAAATGGAATTTTCTTTCCCTGCCCTTATCTGTCATTCACGTTTCCTACGTAACACTATTAATTTTAGCCTCCACAGGCCGTTATTTTGTTATTTCCAATAATTCCAAGTTCATATAGAACTGATAATGTAGCAAGCCCAAAGTATAATATTAGGCAGACTACTCCTAACTTTCTGTCCAGCTTCCAGCCATTGAAGTGAACTGCTAAAAAAAGAAAAATAATTGAAATGTTGAGAGAGATGGTTATGTAAGTCAGTCCTCTGCTGTTCACTTCTACAGGAGCTGATGTATTAATAAATGCAGTTTTAATAAACCACGGAACACCTAGGCACAGCATATCAAACACATTGGATCCCACGATGTTAGACATAGCCATATCTCCTTTGCCTGCAAAAAAAAAAGTATGTTGTTAAAATGTGCATATCAATACTGTATTTTATTAATAAGTTTCATAAGAAAAAACACTGGATACATACTTTTTTTTTGTTTGATGGTTTTGGAAAATTGTTGTAGAACAAAAGTCTTACTGAATTTGTATTTTTAATTTTAGGAGGTTAGTATTTAAAGTATTAACATTTATTTAATAATTATTTTTATTTATTAAACTGTTTTTCAATAAGATATGTAGATTACTTGTTGCTTTTCATTCTAATTTAACATGTTTAATTACAATTTCGTGCACATTTCAGGTGAATATTATTTGGGGAATTAGATTTAGTAAAACTAATTGAATACTAAATCCTTCCTCCTGAGCTACTCCTTTTTTTTCTTCAAAGTACGTTACTGAGGAAATAAATATTTCAAAAGGGTACCTGTACTTAGTGTATTTCAGCCAGGCTTGAAGAATGGGCATTGCAGCTTAAGGGACCTACTTCTTACCTTTTCTTGCAACCAGCACACTTGTAATTGTGTCTGGTATGCTTGTTCCTGCAGCTAATAAAGTAAGGCCCATTACTGTATCTGGAATTTCCAGTGTTTCTCCTGTGATAAACATAGATATTATAAGTTATAAAACTTATAATATTCACTAACCATTCTCTGCACATATTTCAGATATTTCTTTCCAGAACAAAAAGAAAATAGGCACATTTAGATTTCACGACCAACATGTACTTAGAATTTAGCTAGCGAAGTATTTGAATAATATTGGTAAACTGGGGACATGGGTAGCAAAGATTTTTAATGACAGATATTTAATAGACAAAATTTCCCTACCTGGTATGCTTACAGAAGTTTTGAATGTCCACTGTTATATCAGCAAGGCTGTTGCTTAATATATGCTAATGGGATTGGTTATTTTCTCTCTTTTTTTAAAGCATTTTCTTAAAGTGGTCAGTGTTAAGCAAATTATAGCTATTTTAAAACTGTAAATGTGTTAACATGGTATACATTTTTTAAGTTCTACTTTAGTGATGTACTTTAATTTAGTATTTTCTTTGGGAAAGCACCATAAATCTGAGGAAAACAAAATAGGGTGCTTGAGTTTTCCTAACATTATAGTCCCAACTTATTAATGCTTCTGTTAAATTTGATGTCAGTTCAACATTTTTCAGAAATGTATTCAATCTAGGAAACAAAACCAGTGGGAAGTTAAAAAAATTCATGTAACTGCTCTTTTATTGTTGTAATTGAAAATTTTCTTTTTCTCTTTTTTAAAATGTCAGTTAAGAAACTTTAAGTAGCTTATTTATTGCATGCTTATATATTGATACTGGAATTGAAATTGGTTAATTTTTGTTACTGGTTAGCCACAGTTCATATGTACATAAATAACATTAATGTTTGTCATCTTGGGGGCTGTTCTCTGATCTATTACTTGATTTTGTTGTTTTCCTAATGTCAAATATGTTCTGGCTGAGAAAGTTTGGAGAGATTTACTATGCAAGCTAATTGGACTTTTTATTTTCCTTATTAAAAAAAAAGAAAAAGAAATATTTTGCTTTTTGCTAGCATACTCTTCTAAGGTCACATTAATTTGGGAAAAGTTGGAAGTCAACAAACTTTTTTTGTAAAGGGCCAGATAGTAATTATTTTAGGCTTTGCAGGCTATATGGTCTCTGTTGCAGTTATTCAGCTCTGCTAATGTAGTATGAAAACAACCATAGATAACATGTAAATAGATGGGCCTGATCAGCAAAAACAGGAGACCTAGTGATTTGGGCACACGAGAGCAGTAGTTTGCTCACCTCTGATACGAGTCCATTCTGGTTACCCTTTGGGGAGAAATTCCTGAATTTCTTGTTCTGTGTTTGTATTCAGTTTTTCCTCCTGGACTAGGAGTTCTGTGGGACTAGAGCTGATTATGGCGAAGCACTGGTAGTTAAATATTAATCATGAAGGTAGCAGAAACCTAAAGTGAAACCTAATTTTATATTCTTTTTACTAATTTCTTAGTATGTTTGTATTGCCATATTAAACAGCAAAATAAAATATAATCCAGTTAAACAGTGAGCACCCATCGTTTTCTCAAAATACTGGCATCTTGCTATATTTTTGTTAGGGAATTGAATTTAATATAAAGAGCATATTATGGACCTCATGCAATGTGAATTAATTATTAGCATATTAGACATCTTGTGAATCCAATTTCATTTATAAGGTGATCCCTTGACTTGTACCTCTGGGCTGTATAATTGTGAGAATATAGTTGGTATGTAATATGCAGTTCACAAAACCTTAATGATTAGTGTATTAATATTTAATTCTTTTGTAAATAGCACTAATCTTTGCTGAAAAAAAAATTAATCCTTAGCTAGACTACCTTTAGCAAATATATACAGTTCTTATATGAAACTGATTATTTTCTTTTTAAATTATGCTCTTGCACTTAAGATACATACCAGTTATCGTGACCATCCAAACCAGGATATATGTAAATGCAGATATCCATAGTGCTGACATGAGAAAAGTTATCGCAAAATATTTTTTCCAAAACTTTCTTCTACAATCTGGTGTGGTTAGAAAAAGTAATGTAATAATAGGAAGGGATAGTACCCAAAATATTCTTTTAAAATCTGCTTCAGGCATTTTGAAAACACTTGGTGGATCTGTTGAGGAAAAATTAAATGATTTTGAGTTTTCTCAAATGGCCGATTAAGTTAGAAATGTCCATTTAGAAAGCTATATTGAAATAAATTAGCTGTATCAGTTTTTAGGAGGCTATTTAAAACATTTGAGTACATCATTACTGATATTGCTGGCAAAAGGAAACTAATTGAGACTTTAGGGCAGACTGTAAAATGTGATACTCAGCATTTTTTGATTTTGTCTTCGGTCATTCACTAAATATGTTAGCGATAATGTTTATCAAGTGTCAGTTAAACATCTCTCTTGGTTTTCTAACGATGTAGATGGTCTTTAATAATATGTTCGCTTGTGGGATTAACCTGGTTTATACCTTAGCTACTCTAATCTCCACTCCCCAATATGCTGATAGCCTGCCCTATATATCAGATAATTCATACTTAGGAATTATAATATAACTGGAGCATAATCTTTTTATTAAGTTGAAATTTCATTCTAATTCTCATTGTGAGTTGGAGGAGCTTGTTTCATTTTTTTCATTACTAAATTTAGAATTCACCACAATTCTTAGGAAAAAACCTTAAGAAAATAGGAACTAATGTAGAATCTACAGTGTAATTTATAAAACTGGACTATCTTCCCTTTTTTCAGTTTGTTTTATGAAGTTAGTGAAAGACAATAATATATTGGATAAACATGGGAATTCACTTGAAAATTGTTTAAAATTTGTATGCATTTACAAAACGATGTTCCATATATTTAATCAAATTACAACTAATGCTAGTAAAATAACTCACAAAAATAACTTGCCAAACCTCAGCCAATGGACCATTAAGTAATATTAGATATAATTTTAGTGTAATAAAAAGTTTTGGACTGATTCTTTTGAGTTTCTTGTTTAAAATTTAACTTAGAGACGTATACCTCTTGTACATGAAAGACTAAAACTATAGTTTTTGTAAGAGGAAAAGTGATATTTTAATTTTTTTAGTTAGTAAATTAGAATCTAAGTTCCCTTCCTAATGTACTAAATTAAATTTAGACTCTGTTGTATATAACCATTTTATAAAAGTAATCCATAAATTTATATTTCTGGACATAGCTTAATTTTACCTTCCACTAAACGTATTTACCTAAATGTTTTGCTGCTGCTTCAAATGATATGTTTAAAACTCAACCGTTTACTTTTTTCTCCGCAGAAGCCCTTTTCCCTAAATTCCTAATTTTTGTAAGTGGTGTTCCCATTTTCTTAGACATGATCAAAGTTTCAGAATTGTCTCTGCTCCCTTTCCTGGTCTCATGTATAGTCTTTCAACTGCCTAGTCTTGGCGATGCTATCTCTGCACTGTCTCCCGTCTGTTGTTCTCTTTCATTTCCACTGCCTTTGCCTTGTCTGGGCACATCAGCTGTTTAGTAGCCTCTTACAGACCTCCATGTCTTTTATTCCATATTTCAATTCTGATAATTTATCTGCTCACAAACCTATAAAGACTTTTACACAAGCATTTAAGTCTCTTCCTAACCTATTTCTTTCTATCCACCTTTGCTTTCTCACTGTGCTCAGTTATGCTAGTACTTGAACAGATCTTTTGCTTATTTCCTTGGTGTCAACCATAGAATATACTTTACTCTTACCTCTGCATCATTTACCTAATAACGACTGTAGCAGCCATTACTTATTGGTTATAAATTAGGTCATCAGTTAAAATCTTACCATTCTGCAAGGCTCAGTTTAAATTCTCCCTTCTGATAATCTTTCCTATGTAACCATCCTCATTAAAGTTTATATAATTTATCCCATTTAGGAAACACAGTTACACTTTATTTCTTTCTCTAAGTACTTAAACCTTCATATTTGAGCTAATCTGTTATTTCCTACAATACTGGAAGCTTCTTAAGGATATGGACTGCCTCTTCATCATCTCTTAATCTTCAGTGTTTTTTACATAGTAACTATATGGTACTTGCTGACTTGAAATGAGGTTAAGTTTCATTAGTGAATAGACTTAATAGTGGGCAGGATGTGGTTATTACCTTCAGAAACCTGATTAAGACCATGTAAACTTATGGAAAGCTGGGAGTAGCCAGAATCTTCATGAAATATTCCACTATCGGTTCTTGATTGCCGACGGATGAATGGTCGACCCTCATCTTCCCATCCCATCAGTGGCTGTTGTTCACTTCTCTCTTCCATAGCTTTGGCGAGACGGGTACAGCAAGGACTGCATTTCTTTATAATATATTGGTTAATTTTAATGTCAAAACACAGCACCAAAACATACAATCCATATATCAAAAGCAGTAAAATTCCTTCATACCTGTAAATTAGAGAAATTTGTGCTTTTTAATTAAAAATGAAAGTTATTTGAGAGTTAACAGCTTTGGGGCAATATGTGCTTAATTCTTAATGCAGCAATAGAACAAATATTTCTAGTTATATTTTGATTTTGTAGCTGTGTCCAGACTTGGTTACAGTGTTATTTTAAATTTATTGTTAAAATCTTGACACTGTCCTTTCTATATTTCAAAAAAACAGGGATCGTAAACTCGTCTTCATTTATAGATTCCTTCCAAATAGTAGGCATAAAAATGCTTTGAAAATAATTGTATATTTTCAAAATTAAAGTGAAAGAAATAGATAGTGATGGGCATTCCTCATCTCAGTTCATTGGCAGAATACATTCCCCAAATAGATAATAATTATAAAAGAATATAGCATGTTAGTTCATTTCAGCTGTGTCTATTCAGACATCCCAGTGTAGGAATTTTGTATAAAATATTCAGAATATGTTAGGCTTTGACTGGGGATTTTCAGTTTGCTATACAGAGATTTTTTTTTTAATTTTATTTATTCTAATGTAACTGAATTCACAAGAAAACATATTTTCAAAAATAAAATTATACCTTAGGCTCTGAGAACTATTTTCCTGCTCTCCAGTTTCCTATTTAAAGAATCGTGATGAGCTAATACCATTACATTTGAACCTTGCATTTACTTTTTATAGCTAGTGAATCTCTACTCCAGCTGGAAGCACAGAGTTCTTGATTTCCCCAGTGGAGGAATGTGATCACAGTCATTGATCCCTTACAGACAGCTCCTGAGTCCCAGAAGCATCCCTACCGTAGCCAGCATTCTTTCTTTGGGAGACAGACTGATCTCAGAAGGATTTAATTTAGAAATTTTGTTCCTTGCTAGATTTTAAGTTTCTTGATAGCAGGTATTATGCAGCACTGCTAAGTTGTACTCCAGAGGGATGCCATTTACATTGTTTTCTATTTTTCTGGTGTCCTCTGGCATTGTGTAAGGCACAGCTTCTGTGGCTGTATGTTTTACATTTCTTAATGCCTTATGATTCTTAGCATAGGGATAAACATCAAATAGATACCTGTTGCATATTAACTGAAAAAAATCTGTTCACTAAGTCACCTGCTTTTTAATTTTCTTGGGATGTAGGGCACATGGAGATTACAAAGCAAACAATTTTTAACATTGAAACCTAAACATTGCTGATTCTTAGAGGAAGAAGGCTATAGTTCTTGCAAAATAAATCTCAAAGAGAAAGTTGGAGGAATTTCAAGGAACTTCTTTTACTTCATCATCTCTCTCCAGTCTTGTGACCATGACCACTTCTAACTGAGGCATGGTGAACAATAACCCAGTAGATGAAAAAGCCAACTGTTAAGACTTTAATGAGCAACAGAAGTTGGGAGACTTTTTTGATTGGTCACTGGGGAGAAGAAAGGGTTCTATTATCCAGTGATTAATAAGGAGACTGACCTGACTAAAAAAATTGCAAGGAAGGGAAGAGAACCCAATCAGCAATTATGAGGAACTTTAGCTCAGAGACCCACTAGAAATGGTGAAGTGGCACATAATTGAGATATGACTGAATATTCCTGAAAAAAAATATTACTAAACCATCAGAATTTCATAAAATCATCTCTGTAATTGTGTTTTACATAAGAATAACAAATATTTCAAGCTTACCAGTAAACTTGGTTGTCAAATATTATGCCAAGAACTGCCGCTACACTAATCGCATATGCTGCACAGTCTCTGAATAGAGGCCAACACGATAGCGTTGAAACCTGTAAAATAATAATTTACTGTTTCCATTACACTGTAACTTCAAGTACATGGTTAGTGTAATACTAAAATTGTTTGTATATTTGTAGCTAAATATTGTTATCTTTTGCATATTGCTTAGAGAAAAAGGAATTTTAAGCAAAATTGTTTCTAAACCTCTGATTTTCATAAATTTGACCAAGAGCTATTTGTGGGTTAACTTAAAATTGAATACATGTTGTTTTTCTACTGATTAATAAATTTGATTGAACACACTACTATTGCCTTGTTTGTTCCATTCTATAAAACCGTTCTCATATTTGTCAAGACAATAAGTTTTGTTAAATAAAGTTTT